AAAAAAAAAAAAAAAAAGAAGGAATAGGAGACAAAAATCAAGAAGTATGGACAATTCTTTCAAAAATTTTGCCTATTAAAATGAGAATTTTGTACAAAAAGATAAGAAGATGCTATTGTTTAAGAATGGAAAGAACATGAATGCATTTAGATGTCAGCAAGTGGGAACCAACAGAGAAGGAGAATGTGCAGAAAGAGGAGGGAGAAGATCTCCAATGGGACAAAGTCCTCAAGGAGACATCAGAGCACAAGACATTTAGCAGGGGACGCCGCTTCCATTTTTTTAAGTGCTCATGTGAATTTATTTCCATGACAAAAATAATTCAGATGAAGTATCATTAATAGTAACAGAAAAACTCAAGAGTATTAGTGTTAACATATTTCTAATTTTTTAAGTAAGAGTAATCCATTCAGAGTGAAAAAAGGAGATTTATTTTCTGACCTCAAAACTGCCAACCAGTGTTACAACAAACTTATAAGATCCAAAGATGATGCCAGTAATAAGAATTTTGCCATTCTGTGTTCTCTTAAACCATGAAATTTGGAAAAGCACTAAAATGATAAAAGAATGAAGTCTTGAAAGGGAATGTGACATCAATGAGCCACTGAGCCCAAAGACCTTGTGTCTCAGCCTGTAGAAACCACTGACATACAATGGTTAGGGACATGCTGGAGTGAATCATCCATCTAAGATGGAAATAACTCAAAAACAGCAGAATATTCTCATGACCTCTCTTCAAACTCTCCCTGTGTTCATCTGGTAAAGATCTTTCCCCTTGCCCTTTCATTCCTTTCCCCCAGAGTCTGCTATTGAATTAATTATTTTTTAATTTCAGAATATTATGGGGGTATAAATGTCTTGGGTTTTTTTTCCATTTTAACAGGAAGGCAGAAGTAAAGAATGTCAACATGCAAACATAGGCAAAATTATAAATCCTATGTCAAGAAGTTAAGGCAATTTTCTTTTATGACATGTATTCTCCATCCAACATGGAAGATAAGAGTTAATTGAGGAAAGTCTAAAATCCTTGTTGTGAATTATGGAAGAGAGGTTGGATTTGAAAAATGTTTTTAGGTGAACAGATCCATTTGAGAGCATACTTGAAATTGACAGCAACAGATTCGTTGTAAGACTAATCGGCAGCCTAGGTATAGGTAAAGAGGTGTGGTTGGGTCAAAAGCTTTACAGGCCAGGGAAAGGAAGGGCAAGGGGACAAAGGAGCTTAGGATAATGATTAGAGTGTGTTTGAAAATCTCTAATATTTCATATTAATATTTTTAATTAATAATTTTTGTTACGAATTATGAGTTCATAATAAACTTGATATTTCATATTAGGGGACATAAAATAAGTTACAAATGAAAGGAAGTAACAACAAGGAGAATCTGATGAAGGGAGAAAATAGTTGTCCCTATAATGAAGGTTCCAATGAAAGAAAAGAACTTTTGTCTTTGTCATGTAAGTTGGAAGAATTGCTCAGTGTAATCAGAGAGCTGGATAATAGACATTTAGGAAGTTCTCCACAAGGTGACCATGTACTGAAACCATGGGTATGTGAGGGGATCACTTAAACGCAGATCTCCATAAACTAAAGATCAGAATGTGATCCGGGTGTTTTCATGAACTAGTGGAGAAAACTCAGGTTTAACTTCCCAAGCATGTAGTGGAGTGTAATATCTACATGTTGACTGAGGCACAGGGGTTGGAGATTAATACGTCACCAGTACAGAAGACTGTGATGGGGTTGGGGCAGCAGAAAAACAGAGTAAGAAGTGCTTGTAAATGGACTGTACCAAAGATGTTCAGACCACTCAGAAGATGGGCATAGC